AATCTTTTTGGGTTACAAACCAACTTTCATTTGTCCTTTTTGGTGAAAAATCCTAAAAAATAGTTAACTTCACTTTTATTTCTCAAAAGTCCTTCCAGTGGAGAACACTTCAGGGGCAAAAAACTATTCATGATAGCCCACTTTAGCCTATGTGACCACCACTTGTGGGTTTGATTAAAACTCTATTTTGTAATTCCTTCTTTATCTGTCTGTCTGTCCCCTCACAGGGATTGTACTCTATAGTGTGAAAATTACGGCCATGCGAAGAAAAAACAGAATTTGGTTATAAATTTCAGTGGTGTGCAAAATGAAAGAGTCAATCTTTATGTTTTTAACATGGCATGGCTTTTAACCTTTGGACATAATTCTGCACACGGAGCAGACTGATTAATCAATACAGGAAGGCTGACCTCAGAGTGATTATTGACTTTGATTAGAAAAATGAAAAGGGCTCAATCCAAAGTGAGCCAAGTGCAAAACCCCCACCACACATACACACGTACATGTTTTTACTGCTATATGTAGTGAGGATCATGTGCTGACTCCCATTGACTTCCATTCATTTTCAGTTATTTTTAACTCTTGCTATGCCCTTACCCTAAAACTAAGACTAAACCTAACCATTACCAATGCATAGCACACCCTGACCATAACCCATTTGACACCTTAGCCCGAAACTCAACCAATAGCAAAATACCTTGTGAGGACCAGCAAAATGTCCTCACTTTACAATAACTAGTGATTAGAAAAATTGTCCTCAATTTATACAAGTGCAAACACACATACCTAAACACACAAATCATCTTGTAAAAGCAAATAGCTTTTTTTTTCTTACTTGTGTGTGTTGACAAAAACAAAAAAATGGTGTGCATGATTTTTTAATAACTGTTGATACCTGTTTAGTTTTGTAGTTTGTTTTATGTTTATATTATTTTTGATAGATTTTCGACACAATGTTATTGTTGTGATAGTTATCACAACGATAACAAAACATAACTTCCTGAATGTTACAGGCACTGCCATGTTGGGTTGCTGGTTTACCTCTATAGAGCAGTAGTACCATAGGTCTCAATTAGGAGGCGAGGAACTATGCTAGTGTGGCAGTGGTGTCAAAAGTACACACATTTGTTAGTGTATCAATTTGACCTGTTTACTCAAGTAAAAGTGAAAAAGTATGTGCTGCGAAAACTACTTAAAGTGTAAAAGTATAAAGTAACCTTTAAAAAAAAAGCCAGATGCCACTATATGAATTGAAAGCACAATTTTTCGACTATTTTGAAAAATTATTTGAGATAGGGTCAAGGATGAGGGAGGTCTTGTTGGTCTCGATCTCCATCTCCCGATACGCTCTCGGCTGTGTCCGACCTTTCAGACATTCCAACATCTTTTTCTGAATCCGCCATTGTGGCATGGTATAGACAATCCACGTTTGAAGTTTTGAGAACACCTGCTTGCTTCTGATGATTTCCTTTGGCATCAGCACAGATTTGACGAATAGCTAACCAATGAGTGTTTGCATTATATGACTCATTCAATTACACTAGTTTTCACTAGATTTGGATGGCGCCAATGAGCTGCATTGGATGGCGCACATGACTTGAAATAAATATTTATAAACAATAAACCGAAGCCATGAGTAACGAGTAACGTTTGTTTTAAAAATGTAACGAATAGAAAGTACAGATACTTGTGTAAAAATGTAATGAGTAGAAGTCAGAAGTAGGAAGTAGGAAGAAAAATAAGTAATGGAGTAAAGTATAAAAAGTGTACTTAAGTACAGTAACAAAGTATTTGTACATCGTTACTTGACACCTCTGTAGTGTGGTGTGTAAATGGTCGTAAGGAGCCAAGCTTGGCATGGTTAATTGATCCAAGCTCGGTCCGAACTCAGCACCGATCGGTTTCCAGAGGGTAGCGTAAATGAGATAATTTTCACTTCTCAGGAAAAAAGTGTCTCAGTCCTTAGGAAAAATTTCATCAGTTCTCAGATATTAGGAAAAATATTGTCAGTTCAAAGGTATTCAGAAAAACAGTAATCAGGAAAAATGTCATACCTTAGTGAAAAACGTTGTCTGCGCTTAAGTATTCAGAAAATGTCAGTTCTCACAAAAAAAGTTGCAAGTCCTCAGGAAAAATATTCTCAGGTTTCAGGTATTAGGAAAAACATAGTCAGTTCTAAGGTATTCAGAAAACATTTGTCAGTCCTCAGAAAAAACGTCAGTTATCAGATATTAAGAAAAACATATTCAGTTCTAAGGTATTAAGACAAACGCTTACAGTTCTCAAGTAAAAGTTGTCAGTCTTTAGGAAAAACGTTGTCAGTTCTCAGATATTAGGAAAAAACATAGACATTTCTAGGCTATTCAGTACAAAGTTGTCAGTCCTCAGGAAAAACGTTAGTTTTCAGGTATTAGGAAAAAATAGACAGTTCTAAGGTATTAAGAAAAAAGTTTTTAATTCTCAAGAAAAGTTGTTAGTCCTTAGGAAAAACGTTGTCAATTCTCAGATAATACTGTAGGTAGAACGTTGTCAGTTCTAAGGAAAAAGGATGTCAGCTATTTTTTAAATTAAGTGAAAATGTTACCAACTGGGCAGATATATGGGTTAAACAAAGTGAGATTCTCATCTAGAAACAAGTTTAATATTTTGGGTCTTATAAAGCTAACTATATAAATTTTGTTATTTACAATTTTTGCCATTGTCCTTCATTTCAGAATGAGCTGACCAATCCGTGTTGATCCGCAATGACTCATGGAAAAGGAAGGATTACGTAGGATACTAGTAGTGCTAGAACAATTGTGCCAGCAGGCTGCATCGTGGGACTAGGAGTATCCTACATGACCCTCCATTTACCACCTGCCATAGAGGTTTTTTACCAGCCAAAATGTTGTCACCCCTAATATAAAGGTGAACGACTCAGAAAACGATTTAAAATGGTTCTTTAACTTGTAAAGAATACACTTTTCTTATCGCCATTATACTGTCACAAGTACAGAGCAACGAAATTCACTTTTTGCATTTAAATCATCTCCTTGGGGAGCAGTGGGCTGCCAATGAGTGGTGCCCAGGGAGCAGTGTGGGGTTAGGGTCTTTGCTCAGGGACCCATTGTCTGTTGGAGTGGGGCTCGAACTCAGAACTTCTGGATTTTAAGCACAATGCCCTCACCAATAGGCCGCCGCTCCCTAGCCATACAAATTTAAATGGTTTTGTGTTATGGACTAACTAAACCTCATTTATGATGAATGTTTGGAATGGAAGATGACAGAAACACAAACAGCCAATTCAACTCACATATGGTCTCATTTACTTAGTTAACATCCAGCTGGAAATCCAATTTGCTGTATAACTGATTCTTTGTCACTGTTGGCATCCAGGTTCAATGTTTTGTTTTTTATATATTTTTTTATTTTTAAATCACAATAATTTAGAAAATATTTTTTGGCATTTGTAAAAAATATTTTCAAGGCAAGCCTAATATTTTGACTGAATAATGCTTATATAAATAACAGCAATAACAACCATAACAAAGTTGACAGAATCCAAACCATATTTCAAATGGCATATCTAGGAAGTTGTAAGTGAGGGGGGACACATTTTTCAGAGTGATTTATCATGGTCTTGTATTCATGTTCACCTTTCCTGTGAAATATCTGTGAAAACCTTTTCCTAAAACCTCTGATGGGGTTTATTTAAACAATAAACTAACTAGCTAATGTAACAGAGGTAGCAACCTTATACATTTTTGTGAACTTGCTTAACATATTGATACATTAGCATGTTAGGCTTGGCTTTACCTTGGAATCCTGTCTATAATAATTTGAACAGGACTGGTTACACAGAGCAGCCCTGTCTGATTTTCAGCCATTCCCTCCTTTAAATTTACTTTGTGAATAATTGTCAGCGTAAGAAGCAGGGAAAGTTGTTTCTGAGGGTTAAGTTTTTTTTTTTACATTTAAAACTTAAAAAAACAGAAACTTTTAAAAAAATGAATAAAAAACATGTATTTAAGATTTCTGTCTATCTTTTTAGAAAAACAAAACTTTGGGTACTCCCTTCTCTATTTCTTTTTCTTTTAACATACATTCTGCACGTCACATATCCTAAACCTGTTACTGTGAGTCATGTTACCATTGCAGCTATGAGTTTAGGTAGATTCACAGTAGGTCAATAAACAGACACACTCATGTGCAGGCAGACCCCCACAAACACAGAGTGGGAAAAGACCACAAAAGCATGAATTTAGGGGCTATCTCTCCTCTCACTACCCTGGTCCATCGACCTTTATAGCTGCTCTCAGCTGGATACATGTCATCCACAACAGTCATGCCTGTTAGGGGAGAGTGAGGGCTGTGGAAGCTGCAAGGGAGGTGGAAATAAATAGAATGAGGAAAAAAGAGAGGAATGAAGAAAGAGCAGGATAGGGTGCAAGGAATGTGCCTTTGTGGAAACAAATGTAAGAACCCAAAGAATGCCATGGTTTGCATGAAGCTGACTTACTGGAAGTACATTTATTTTATTTTTTCCTGGCCGATGTTGCTCTGGATAATAGTAAATGGCCTGTACTTCTATATTGTTTTTTTTTTTAACTCAGGAGACTTGACCAAAGTGCTTTAAACTCAATTCATCCATTCACCCATTGACGCACTCATACACTGATGATGGCAAACTACATTCTAGCCACAGCTGCACTGGGGCTCACTGACAGAAACGAGGCTGCCGTACACTGGCGCCACCAGGCCATCTGACCGCCATCAGTAGACAATGCAGGTGAAGTGTCCTGCCTAATGAAACAATGACACTGAAAGCCAGAGCATAATCTTGATCCGTCAACCCCTTTGATTTCAGGGCAAACTCCTACATCCAACGCCACCGTCGCCCATGTAATAACTCCCTGGCGTATGGATCAGTAGTACACAGTGACCTCTCCTGTTTTTTATTTGGAGTCTCGCCTGCAGATCTGGTGCTAATCAAACATGTTTGTCCTCAACTTCTCTTTAAGGGGTCAGAGGTGATGCCATGTGCCAACGGCAATCTTCTTTTAATCCTCTCAAATCAGGTAAGGCAAACAAAAATCACTCTACCAGGAATTACATATGTACATATGCAAAAGCATGCACATTGTTCCAACATATAGCCTTTTGTTTAAATACAAAACAAGAACAAAACTTATTGAAGCATTTTCTAAATTACTACCAATCTCCAGCTTTCTTTGACATCTTCCTGCAAATATTTTTTTCTTTTCTCAAAACTACTACAGCTGTGAATCAAATAGAAAAGAGAAAACATCCATCATTCATCAGATAATATGTTCTGAACCTTTTATTTTTCAATCACTCAAATGGTATATCAAGAATTGTTCAAGAAATCAGTTATTGAAAAGAAGATAAATGATATGACAAGATTAAATTTATGTTTAGATTTTTTCATAGACATTTATGTTATTAAATGGTATGTGTTTATAAAAATCTGGTTGGCCACTCCTGGTCTAGTACAATAGAGCAACAAAAGAGCAGAAATTACTTCAGGGTGAGCTCTTGCCAAAAAACAAAAAGAAAGGAACTGTAAAAGTAAATAAACCTAATACTTTAATTGCATAAACATAAAAAAACAATCAGCAGCCCTCTTTGCTTTGAACAGGAGAAAACTATTCAAACACAAAAAGGCAGCTCACCCCTACAAGTTGTGTTAGACCGACATAAGTTTAGAGAGATAAACTATAGCTACACAAAATTCTAAATTTGTAAATAGTGTATTAAAATTATAAATATGGCAAAAAATGTTAACATTATATTCTTCAATACTATATTTTACTGATTGTGTTTTTCTTTGTTGTTTTTTTTTTCAAAGTGCAGGAAAGCAGGTTGAAACTTGATATTTAGGCCCTTAGGTGGCTTCAGATGGCTTTCAGTCAGTAACCTCAATTCTCCACTCCATCCATAAAAAAATAAACAAAGAATGACTTAAAAATAACACCCATTTAGTGGCTCCAGAGTAACTTAGAAAGGAGAAAGCAGATTGGAAAATGATCCTGTGGTCTGACCAATCAAATTTTAGAGTATATTTAAAACTTAAAGATGCAACCTCTTTTGGACCAAGCACCAGAGAGACAGCAATTCAGAAAGCTAAAAACTCAGTAAATGCCATTAGCCCAGTCTACAGTACATTAGCGTAAATGTCATGTACAAAATTTATACCCATGGAAAAAGCACAGATCTAAGAGCTATATATTTAGAGGCTGTGATTGCCTCCTTCCCTTAATACAGCTCTTATCTTATTTCAGGAAGACTTTGACAGAAAAAAAAGCAATGTTTTTAAACATTTATTCTGGCTTAGTGATTTAACTTTAGGGTTTTTGCGTGTGAGCCCAAAAGAAAAGTAATAAATATTTTCAAAGTGATTAATTCATAAGAAATTCTACATAATATTGCCGTTTTTCTTTTTAAACAAAATTTGTCAAAGAGTATAAAAAAATTAGCTTAAAGGTATAGTGGGGGATTTTCGTGAATTTTCGAAAAAGGACCGCCCTAAAATAAAATGCACATTCACAACCCTGTAGCCAGTCCCGTGAGGGAATGCCTATTACATGTGAGCATGCACAAGCCCATTTCTCCACAAGGAGGTGCAGGGACACAATAAGCGGTCACTCTGATGGATCTCACCACACCCATATTTATGTAATAAATAGTTTCCCCGCAAATAAGACTACTGGTACATTAACAAAAAATAATTTCCTGGTTGTATGTTTGTGTGTGCTGCAGTGGAAATTTGGACATGTTTGTGGGTTAAATAAGGATCTGGGGCCACTGTATAACTACTAACAATGCAAATTACAAAATAAATATACTTATCATCCCTGGAAAGTTTTTTCTTATCTTCTCACACACTTTGTCGTTACTTTTTCTCTTGCGATTGTCTGTCATTTTCAAAGAACCGTGCTAAGAAAGGCAAGCTTCAGTGACTGGCTGAAACCGTAGCTCACCACAAATATACGCCTGAAAGTGCGCATGCCTAAAAATATAGCTAATTATGGGAACGAACACGTTGGCCAGCCTTACATAAATATATCACCAGAATGATTGACAATTAGAAGGACCACTTATTTTGACGATGCACCTGGAAAAGGAAAATCCTCCACTATACCATTTCCTATCAGCAGTTGTCATGAGGGCTTTCAAGCACAAATATTTGCAGTTGAATAATAAACCTTGTATATATCCAAGCCACCATGATTTATACTCAGCAGTACTTACTCATTTTTGACTAAAAATTATAAAATTGTTTTCTGTTTTATACAACATGCTTTGCCTTTTCAGATGCACTTGTCCTTGCACCTTAAATCAATAAAGGTGATAACAAGCAAATATTCAGTTTCATTACAAACATTATGGACAATGATAAAAATAAAAGCATACATTGTCTTGCACTATGTATGTGCTGTACTATTACAGTAGGACATTAAATAAAGCAGTTCTTACAGTTACACCTTTCAAGCGATCATGGTTAAATTTTGCAATGCACCTTTAATGAGCATTTGCTTATACAGAAACACACGCAGCCAAAACAAATAAACAGCGTTAAAGTTGTTACAGTGTTGTCATTTCTAAATTCATTACAAACACTTTTATCTTCTCATAATTACCTCCTATTATAAGTTTTCCACCATCTTCCTTTTTTTAGTGGCTCCTTCTTTCTAACTTTATTGCAAAAACCCATTGATCAAGTATTCATTGCAGAGCCATGAATACTCATTCATTTCAATTCCCACTTCCAGTAAGGCAATTACAGTCTTCCCGTCAAAAATAAGCACCAGTAGTTTGAAAGGGTCCAAGCTTTGCATATTAGGTGTTTAACTCTCCTGATATAACTTTTAAAAAATCCACTGCATGCCTACAAGTACATTTGTTTGCTTTTGGCCTTTTAAATATATATCATAGGAGATATAATAATTTTGTCAAAAAGTATTATTTCTCCTATGATCAAAATCATTAAGAGACATTGTAAAATAATTTTACTTAAATTTTCATACTTTATGGGGAAGGTTTTGGGATCTTCCTCTTGTGTGAGAAATGTAGCACTATTGAATACCTATGTTGGCCATGAACCTGGAGGGTTAATATGGATACAAATAAAAACTTGTGTGTGTGTACGGGGTGTAGATTGTTTTATAGGTATGTTCTATTGGCAGCAACCACACTTTTATCACCCTATTCTTTAATATGGTTCTAACTTTTTTTTTTCCTGAGTACCACCTAAAATGTATGTAGGATCTTCAAGTACCATCATAATGTCAGACAATCAAATTCTGCAATATATTTTATTTTTGCTGCGCATTTAATGAAGCATTGGGAAAGAAACACAGTTGTTTATTGTTCATAATTTGAACATTTATTGTTTAGTATGCTTTACTTCCATGGCTACACACATTTTGTTGGAACTCCGTCTATAAATTAAATGTATGCTGTGGACTGCAGTGCAGTATAACCAAACAGGATTTTTTTTTTTTTTTTGTTCTGTGATGCGAAAAGATGTTTTCAGCAAACACAATATAGTTACTAAAATAACATAAACTAATCAGTAATGAGGAAATCAACTGGGCTGACCAATAGAAACTACAAGAACACTAGCAGCACAATATAACCATACTATTAGTTATGTATGAGAGCTAACTATTTTTATGCATCAGAAACTACTCATATGGGTGTGTTTGACTCTGTGAACACACTTTTTAATGTCTGGCTCAGTAGATGACAACTTCAGGTTGAGATCATCTTCTGCATCTTGCATCTCTGTTAACATTTAACCAGGGTGAGAGGCCTTTCCCATACAAGTACATTGTAAGAGGCAACAGAAAGTACACAGCTTTTGCAGAAAGGGCAGGGTACTCACTTTATCTGAAGTCCAACCGTATTTGTCTTTTGAATCCAGATGCAAGGGTTCCATCACTGGGCAGTGCGAGTAACCTTTCCTGCTCTTCACCTGTGAGGTTTTCTGGCATGTTAGATGCCAGTGTCAAAAGGACGTGTCATCCAGCTGTTCTTTGTGATTGGAGGGAAATGTTCCAACAGCTGCTGCCACATTAAATGTGCGGGAGGATTTTTTCTCTGACACCATCTGCGATAACCAGGTCATCAGCAATGGAGCTTGACAAACTTGAGAAACATGAAACCTGCATTGACATGCAGGCAAAGCTAAGTTATCGGCACAATTATTGATTTCCACTTGTTAGCAGCTGACAGTCGGTGAAGTGAGGCGGGGAAAATTGATATTTTTCTGACCGGATTAAATGATAAGACCAAGAATGAACTGATGACTTGATATTTCCCTCTCTCCCTGAAACATTTGGGGGATCTAGCCCCTAGGACTGATCTCTGTCATACAGAACGGAGAAAATAATCTTCTTTCATACCTATGGTTCACTCCAGTCAAACTCCAGTTCCTCACGCAAAGACTCCTTTAGGAGGATAATCCACACCTTAACCCATGCAGCTTGGGGTAAACCAGGTTGTCTAAGGAGGAGAAACAACACAGACATACATGGAATTTATGCCTCTACTGTTGGGGTAAGGCAGACAGAGTGTCGACCTGTCCAGTAAAAGCTCAGGCTCTGTAGAGAAGGGAAGAACTCTACTAAGCTGTGCTAATATCTCAAATTCTACTTCCCAGACTTTCCCTTTCAACTAGACCTGTTTCTCACCAGACCTCTCTTTTAATTGATTCTGAAAAGGACACAGAGTTCATGGATGAGGGCTTTGCCAAGAGACTGGGCCTTGGATTTCTACCAGGACCTTCCTCCCACAACGTTCTGGCTTTAGGTGGACACCCCCTAAACCAATCACATTTGGTGTCATAGGAGGTTAGCCTTACTATTGGAGGTAATCATAATGAGAACTTCTCCTTCATGGTAATCGAGTTCCCTCAAGTTCCAGTTGTCTTGGGAATTACATGGGTTAAAAATCATTAACCTCAGATTGACTTGCAGAAGGTAGAAATCATGAGTTTGGCTCCAACATGCTCTGAGACCTGTTATCCCCAGTCTGCTCCACATCAAGTACAATT